AAATATATTTTTTTTCAGCCTTTTTTAAAAAAAAAAAAAAAAAAAAAAAAAAAAAAAATATATATATATATATATATATATATATATATATATATATATATATATATATATACATATATATATATATATATATATATATAAAAACTAAATATCGTTTATTTCCTTTTTAAACGATTATATTTAAAGAATTTGAGTTTCTTTCTGAAGTTGTTTCTGCAGGTTTTCTGATCGTTTTACTGTCGACTTTAAAAACTTTATCTGAATTTTCTTTGCTTACATTTTAACCAGACGTATTTTTAAAGGATTTTTAAATCTTATATTTTAATTCCAACAATAATTTAACTTCTTCCAGATTTAATTTTTTTAATTAAATTTAATCTGTAAAATCAGTAGATATAATTATCTTTTCCACCTAATCGATTTCCGTTTTGTGCCATTTTTGCAGATGAATCTTTAAGGTCTTTTTATTTATTTAGCACATTTTCAGCAACAAAGCAATTCAAAGTACTTTACATGAATTAGAGGAAATACCAACAAAATATCAAAAGAAAAGGTTTATGATTAAATGCATCAGATTTTCTTATATAAATCGCATTTTGATCCTTATTTGAGGCATTTTTTCCACTTCCTGACATTTCCAATCAACACAGAACAAAGAAAACCACGAAGCGATCACACAGCGCCACCTGCTGGCGAGGAAAGCTGCTTCATGTGTCAGTACCCAGAAGGCAAAGAGAAAAGACATTAATGCCGTTGCCAACAAGCTCAGGGCGCCAACCTTCACATTCAGCACAAACATCAGGTTTGGAAAGGATGAAACCTTTCACCAATAAAATCTGAAAAGTGTGGCAGGCTTTTTTGTGCAGGCTCATGGGGTGTGAATACATTTGCATTTTATTGTATTAAAGAGATTAACTCAGTTTTATTTTATGGATGACTGCAGCTGGAAAACCGCAGGAGCAAAATTAAAAGTTTGCTTCTGTCCTTATTAAAAACATTAAGAATAAAAATAACATTATTTTGTTTTAGTATATTAATACATCTGTGAATTGTATTATTATTTAATAATTTATAGTCTTTTTCCAGATTAAATTATTTCCTTTTATATTATAAGCACATTAATATCTCCTCAATGTGGAAAATGTTTTGCAGAATATTAAAAATAGAAAACCAAGGAATCATACTCACACCTTTATTATGAATCCGAAACAGATCAAACTCTGGTGTGGATGCAACCTGCCTCATCACCATGACAACACCATCCTTACAGTGAAGCACAGTGATGGCAGCATCATGCTATGGGGTGTGTAGCAGCAGGAAATGGCAGACAAGACAGGATGGAGGGAAAGACGAACACAGAGGTGCCAGAAGAACCAGAACCAAATTACCTTGAAAAAATCAAATTCTTACTTTGTTTCACAATCTGGGCCAATAAATCTGGATCTGATTATTTAAAAAATTATGTGTCTTTTTCCTTTTGACCCTAAGTATCCCTAAGGATCCTGCATAACAACCACAAGACATTAAAAAGACTCCCGGTTTTTGATAATTCAGTAGTTCTTTTTGGCATCTGTCCTGTGAAAGAGAAAGCGCCGTCTTTGTTGCCAAAGCTCTTCTTGTAGTTATTATCTCTTACAGCAGGTGGCAGTAATGCGCCATAGTGCAGTTTATAACTGTCCATTAACCGTCATTAGAAGAAGATGCTGTGCTAACAACGTCTCCCAGTCGGCTCGTCTGTTCTTCGGATTTTTCCGTTATTAACTAATATTTTTGTATTAAAGTGAGAGTTTTACTGACAAATAGGTCGGTGTTCCATCTGAAAGTGTCTCCAGTTTATCTGAGGTGAGTTTGTGGATAATTCCTGTCCGCTGTTAGCTATGGAGCTACCTGCTGTTGCTAGAAGCTAACTGGTTGAAAGTGACATAAACACTAAACTTAGGATTCTGAACTGGTTCTGTTCTGTATCTTTATTAACCCGCTTCTGTCTCATATTTGACAGAAATAATCATCTTAAAACTTTAGGCAGACAGCGTTAAGGCTAAATGGTTCCGGTTCGGTTGGACATGGCTCGGTTCAAGCTAATCTGAAGAGAGAAAAATGAGAATTTTAGTGAAATCAGAGTTTATGGTTCTGCTCAAGTTCCCCTATAGAACTGTATTTGGACCAGTACAGTTCTATAGGGTTAGGGTTAAATGTCGGTTTTCATTTAATTTTCAGAAATATTTTTATATAAAAAGTAGACATTTCTATGGAATTAGATGAGGGTAATGGGGCTTTTTCTGAGGATTTCTGGTTCTAATCAGCTGAAGCTCCCAGTTTTTTCGAGGAAAAAAGTAAGAATTCATTTTTCAATTCTCTTAATTTTTTGCTTATTTTGTGAAACAATTATTTTAAAATATTTTTTCAGCTGAATACTGTGATTTTAAAAAAATAATTTCAATATTTTTTTTGACAATTTAAGTTTCAATTCACCAAAAATGTAAACATATTAAAAAAAATTTACATATAAAACATATTTTGTGGAATTTCAAATTTATAATTTAAGTGATTACATTATATCAGGTTTATAAACATACAGTTATACAGAAATATGAATGTTTTTAAATGTTTGATTTTAGGATTTTTAGGATTAGTAACATTTGGCACATGGTGCCTCTAGTGTCCTGCAGGAAAGGGGAAACATTTATTTTGTATTCCCTTTCAATAAATTAACAAATACAACCTGGTCTGTACTGTATGTCTATTTAAAATTTTATATATATCCACATTTAAAGATCCTCAAAACGGATTGAAAATGGATTTATTCAGTACATGTTTATGTCTGTCTGTGCAAAGTTGAGATGAATTTCATGAAAACCATTCAGACCAACACATAAAGACGCAATCAGAACAGTCAGATGATTTTATTACCCCGTGGTAATAAGTTAGAAATAGTCCAAATAGTTTGCAAGTACTTTTCATTTAGTTTCTTCTTACTGGAAGTCTCTGTTTTTATCTTAGACGGGATGGAAAACCTTTGGCCTGTTTGGCTTGTGATGCATTTCTGTCCTAAAGATATAAACCTTCAGATGTCACAACCAGGAGAAACCTTATGGGAGACTTCCAGTATTCAGTTATGCCACATGAACCGACCAGTTAGTGAGGGAACGCAGTTGAAAGTTTCTTCATTTCTGGGCATTTAATAAAAACTCCTCAGGCTGTTAAATGATTCTGGTTCAGCAGCGGAGCTTTCATCATGTCGTCGGGAATATTCAAACTTCACAACCAGTACCATCTTGGGAGACTTTTCTGGACTTCCATATAAATACTAAAGCTCTGAAGTGTTCAGGAAATGTGTCGTTCAGCCATCTTTGTTTCTGGGGACAGAAGGAAGCATTGCTGCTGTTTGAAGAAGACTGGGCTGAAGATCTTCCGCTTTAGCTCCAGCTCTTCCCTTTGTCCTTGAAAAAACACGTCTAGCTGTCTCTGGGGACTGAAGACGGGCTTGTTGTCTTACGCTGAGGTTCTGGATTGGTAAACGGACCGAACACCAGAGTCGCCGGTTTGGTGGGCAGCGTGGGGTAAAGTGCTTTTGCCCTGGGACACATCGACATGTGACAGGAAGCTGGAATCGAACCCACAACTTTCTGATTACAAGATGGCTACCCACTGGAGCCACAGAACCCGAACTGAGGCGGTTCTGGAGGTAAGACTGACTTTGGGTCGTCAGGCTGCGAAGAACCGGACCAGGACCGAAGCTTGGTTGGTCCTCTGATGCTTCATCAGATCTTGGCCACGCTGTGCCTCCCTCCCTTCCCAGAATGCACCTGTGATGGGAGGAGCTTCCCTGCTGTCAGCGTTCAGGTTTTCCTTCCTGTGTTTCAGGAGGAGCAGGAAGTGTTTTGGTTCTGTCTGCAGGTAAAGGTAGAGGGCCTGTCTGGACCGCCCCCCCCGTGTTGTCTCTCTCAGCTCGCTCGCCCCCAGCTTCACTGTCTCTCTCTGTCTCCTGACCTGGTGTCTCCACAGGCGCCCGCCATGTTCCCGTTCCGTCAGCCGTCTGACTCGGACCTGCGGCCCGACCCTCGGCGCTACGGCTCTGGAGCGGAGCGGGACTTTTTCCGCCCCCCGCAGGAGTCTTTGTTGCCGGGCCCCGCCCCCCAGGACGGCGTCCTGAGCCTGCTGAGCAGCTGCGGCCTGGAGCCGGAGGACCTGTCGGTGCTGGCCAAGCTTCCTGAGGACATCCTGACCGTCGAGTCTCTTCCTCAGATCCTCAAGCAGATCAAAGGCCAGAAAGCTCCGCCCCCCGGCTGCCCCCCCCGGCCGGAGGAGCCGTTCCACCTGGGGACCACCAAGCCTTTACCTGCCAGGCCGCCCTCTCCGCCGCCCCCCTCCTCCTCATTCAAGGCCTTTAGCCCCGCCCCCAGGGACTGGGAGCGGCTCCGCCGCCAGCCGGTCCAGTACCCGCTGCACCTGCTCTCCTCCGAGCCCCGGCCGGACCGCTGGCCGGGCCAGCAGGCCTCCGGGTCGGGCAGGTCCCCCCCGCCACCGTCCTCTTCGTCCACCAGACGGGCCGTGGACCAGGACCTCAGGCCACGCCCCCCCGTCTACGGTAAGGACGGTTCCTCTTTCGGTGGGTCAGCAGGCAGAACCCGTCCTTCCCGTTTCTCCGGATCAGGCGATTTCAGGACGGCTCCTCCTCTTGATGAGCGCCGCCGCGACTCCAGGCCGTCCTTCAGCAGCCACGTCCTGAACCGGGCCCGCCACCCGGCACCCAACCGGGCCCGTGACCCGGCCTCCGGCGCCATGCCCTCTAAGAAACAAGCTCTGGACTTCCACGGAACGTCGCCACCCGCGTTCCCGTACTCGTGCTCGCTGTGTGACATCGCCGTTCTGTCAGAGAAGGTAAGTTAACCTGTCTTCCTGCAGGCCGGGACAGCAGGTGAGTGGGGCGGCGGGGACACTGGAGGGTCATGGGAAGAGACGGGGCAACTGAGATGGCCGGTGACCTCACTTCCTGTTTGTGTTTCAGGTTTGGATTCAGCATGTCAACACGACTGGACACGCAGACGGGCAGCTCAACCTGCTGCAGCGGTGAGGAACACACACCTGGTGTCACACACACCTGGTGTCACTCTGAAGCCGTCCCTTTGTCTCCTGCAGGTTTCCACGGTGGGACTGTCGCCTGGAAAGCGCTGGAAGGTCAGTGACTTTCATCACATTTATCAGATCCAGATCCATTCTTCTGATCCAGTCCTGAGTTTCCTTGGCAGGGATTCAGTGTCTGTTAGTTGGGCTTCTGTGGGCCAGAACAGAACCTGAACATCCACCACCTGGGGTCAGGTGAGGGGCCAGCAGCCCCGGTAGGGAGGCCCAGACCTCCCCCTCCTGGTCGTCCTGACCTCTGACCGCCTTGCTGGTGCTGGTCAGAGGCCCCAGGGCAGATGTGGCTACTATACAGTAGCTTGCCAACATCAGCATGTGAATGACTGGATAAGGTGTGAATCATTTTGGGCTACTCTGGCCTTGATAAGACACTATAGGAGTACAAGCCATCCAGCATTTAACCGGCTCTGCTGGCTGAGCTTCTCTCTCTAAGGGAGCCCAGCCACCCTGCGGAGGAAACCCATTTCGGCCGCTTGTATCCGTGATCTCATTCTTTCGGTCATGCCCCAAAGCTCATGGCCATAGATGAGGGTGGGAACGTAGATTGACCAGTAAATCGAGAGCTTCGCCTTTTGACTCAGCTCTCTCTTCACCACGGCGGACCGGTACAG